TAAATTAAGCATGGACCCAGAAATGTCTACGATGCCAGGCCATAATTTGCACAAGAGGGTCTACCTTGTCGAAAGAAGTAGACATTTCGTACTTTGACGTACCTAACGGGTGTTCTTTCAAGCACCTAACGGCTGTTCTTTCAAGCAACTAATTCATAGTGAATCGACATTACAACTAGATGGATTGGTATCATGTTCAGCTCACCGATTCTGTGCTTTTTGAGCATATACTCTACAATGGAAGAAAATTGATTAACACAAAAAAAAAGGGGAAGAAAAAGGGCTTAAAAGTTGCAATCTTAGATTGGTTCAGCTCATATCTGAACATGGCTAATTGGAGCTAGATTTGATCTCAAATTAAGTGATAAATTCCACGAGCATTCAAATCAATAATGCCACAAGGAAGGATCTGATCAGAGGGAGCTCTCAAGTTTGGTTGGTTAAGATTAATATAAACTTCATGCTAGCTTTCACTTTCAGGCTTTATTATTTTTATATTTGAGCAGGTGGTCAAAGCTGAAGCTGCCGACTTTATTCTAAAGTACGCCAAGATTGATGATACATTGACTAAGACTAGATCCTTAAACAATCGAAGGACACATGTTAATCACCAACCAGTGTAGTGAAATCTCCATCAGATAAATAAGCCAAGAATAGCATCCACACAAGCTGTTGGTTAAGCAGACAGAAACCAAAAACATATTCTATAGGGGTAAAAAAATGAACTAACAATCTTTGTGACTAATCTATGTTGCACGAATACGGTTACGACTACAGAATTATGTCGGTAACGACTGTCAGTACATGTGGTCGCGGGGAGGGGGGTGGGGGGCACCCACGTGGGCGTCTGCCCCGAGCAGACGAGCCGCCTGCTTTCGTGCGCACGCATGAAACGCCTGCCCGGCTGTGCCGCGCCGCCCGCGTTCGTGCCCTGCGTCGAGCTCCGCGCCCACGCGCCTGTCTACAGCTCGTGTCCGTGCGTTGAGCACGAGCGCGAGACTTTTCCCGCTGAATCTTTTCTTCCCGCGCGCGTTTCTTTTCCCGCCGTGAGAGCCCGCTACTTCTTCGGTTTTCCTCCCCCTTTGGTTTCCTATAAATAGAGAAGGGGTGGAGGTGTTTTGGGAGGGGGGAAATAAGTGGGAAAATCTCTTGAGTGAAGCTCTGAGAGAAAAGAAAGAGTGAGTTGAGAGAGAAATTGTAATAAGTTTGGTATTCTCCTCATAGTGAAAACCCCCTCCCGTGAACATAGGCTAGTTAGCCGAACCACGTAAATGATTTTTCCTATTGAAGGATGCAGATGAAAAACTCATTGATTTCGCAGAAATTGCACAAAGCTTTGACGGGAAAAGAGAAGAAGCACAAGGATATGTCTAATGAGGATTGGGAGGAGCTGGATCTGGAAGCGCGGGCCTCGATTATCCTTTGCCTTGAAAGGGATGTAGCTTCCTTGGTGGACGGGGAGGAAATGGCTGCGGGCGTGTGGTTAAAGTTAGAGAGCACCTTCATGACGAAGATTTTAACGAACCGGATCTATTTAAAATCCAAATTGTATATTTGCAAGATGGAGGAGGGTTCATCAATCCTGGAATACATCAACAAGTTCGATAGGATCTTATCGGATTTGAAAGACATTGAGGTGACAGTGGAAGATGAGGATCAGACACTTCTACTTCTTCTATTTTTTCCGAAGTCTTATGAGAATCTGGTTCAAACACTGATGCTTATGGGCGACAGTTTGTCGATGAATGAGACTAGAACGACGCTTCTAGTGGATGATCTTTGAAAAATTACAACTAGTGATATGACCACTGGTGGTAACAAGGAACAAGCTCAGAGACTGTTTGCCAGAGGAAGAGGCATTGAGCGAGGAAAAGGCAAGGGAGGAAAGTCTAGATCTAAATTGAGGCCTCTTGCGGGACGAGCGTATTTCAAATACGGTGAAGTTAGGCATTTCAATGTCGATTGTCCTAACAAGAGAGTAGGTGGGAAGAAGAATAACAACAAGACTGAAAGACGAGAAGGCAAGGAAGAGGCGAGCTACGCTTCAGGGGAAGAGAACGATAAGGAATGCTATGTCATCACAGATAGCGAGGATACCTCCGGGAAGTGGATACTTGATTCTGGTTGCTCTTACCATATGTGTCCAAATAGGAAGTGGTTTACTACCTATAGAAGCATTGATGGTGGAACCGTATTGATGGGGAACAACCATGCTTGTAAAACGGTGGGGCTAGGCGATATTAAGATCAAGATGCTGTTGGCTTTCTTGTTTTGATGATGTTTTAACAAACAATTTATCACTAATGTTGTTTGTCTAGTATTTGTGTTTTCTTATTTATTATAGACAAACAACGAGTTGGAGGTTGGATGGATTGAGCCTACACGATCATATCAAGAGGAGGTTGGCGGAATTGTGGAG